GTGTGTGTGTGTGTGTGTGTGTGTGTGTGTGTGTGTGTGTGTGTGCGCGCGTGCAGTGGTGCAGTCCAGAAAGTCATTTCTGAGAAGTGACATTTAAATTAGGACTGGGGGATAAGTAGGGCTATTCCAGGCTAAGGGGGGGATCACAGAGGGGATGGGGCAGGAAATTTCAGAAAGGAAACTTGCAAAGGAAGGCCCTGACAATCAGGTGAATTGAGCACTGAGTTTCTGCTCGGATGGGACACCATCAGGTGGTCATATGTCAGGACAAGACGGAAAGCAAGTGAGCTTAGTTTTGCACAACCGAAGTGTACACTCACCCATGAGAATTTAATCATCAGGAATGGGAAGATTTGTTGACTTGAAAACACTGGGTTTTTTAAAATGTTTTTATTGCCTTTGTTCACAAAAAGAAAAGAGAGAAGAGATGGGTGAAAATTATCTTCTTATACCAAGTTGCAATCGAGGAAATACATAATATCCCGATGACCAGCTTCTTGTTAAAAATTGCCCAAAATATTTCTGTCTGTGAGAGAAGGAAAAAAAGACGTTAAATTTATTTGACTGGTTCTCTTAAATGAATCTTTGACTCTAAAAGGATATTACTGTATCTAGTTTGACTAAATAATTTGAAGATGCAAGATTTTGGAGAAGAGAAAATATGAATATTATCAACAGTACATACCTCTTTATTTAACACTTCTATATGCAAATTGGCCATACAAAAGAGGTATCAAACATGGTTCTTACCTTCTAGAAGTTTATGACAAACTTGAAAAACAAAAATATGTGCTTAAAATTGTAATGGCCAGTATAGAAAATATTTGCCAAATGCCAAATGAGTACAATAAAAAGTGAAAGATACCAAAATTTGGAGATAAATCCTAAGTAACATCTTAAAAATCATGAAAGAATAAAGTTCTTCTGTAACTGACTCTTTGGATTGGTTTTAGATGCCTAACCACCAACTCCACCTGTCCTGCATTTATCTCTCAGTATTTATTTTATCACTGCTTGCCTTGGAACATATTACTTATATTCTCCATCTAAGAGGAACTGGAAAGGAAAAGATGCCATTAATATTTGTTGATCACCCACCATATCCCAGGTTTTGCAAGCAAATTCTTCCATAAGTACCTCAATCACGAACCCCTTTTCGCAACATAACCACATGCATGATCTTTCTAATTTCATCTGTGCCTTTTGCTAGTTGTGGAAGACATCTTGATCTAGATGCAAACACTTTTGAAACATAATTTTGTTGTGGTATACTTCACAGAAATAAACCTCGCCTCTTGTAAATGTACAACTTACTGATTCTTGAAAAATGTATAACTCTTCATTCAAGATACAGAATTCTATTGTCACTCCATCGAATTCCCTGATGCTTCTTTGCAGTCAACCCTGGCCTTGGGCTACCCCTGATATGTTATTTGTCATTGTAAGTTAATTTGCCCTTTCTGGAATTCCATACAAATGGTACCATAGAGTAATGTACTTTTAAAATATATATATGTGGCTGCTTTTGTTCAGTGTAATATGCTTGTGAATCACCCAAATCCTTGCATATGTCAGTAGTTCAAGTTTTGCTTTGGTCTGATTTCATTGTAGCATTTCATCATATAGATAAATCAATGTCTGTTTATTCATTCTCCTGCTGATGTAAATTTATACAGTTTTTTTTTTCTTTTTGGCTACTATGATAAAGTTGCCGTAACCTTTGATTTTTCAAGACTTTGAACAGACATGTTTTTATTGCTCACAGTAAATTCCTGAGAATGGAATGGCTAAGCCACATGACATGTATACTTTTAGTCTTCCAAAGATGCTGCCAAATTGTTTTCCAAATTGCTTGTTGCATTTTACTTTCCCAAGCAGAAATACCCAAGAGCTCTAGTTCCTCCACATCCTCACCTGCAGTTGATATTGTCAATGTTTTCAAATTTAGCCCATCTAGGGACTTCTTGGTGACTTGAATTTGCATTTCTATAATAGGCTAATGCAGTTGGTCTTATTTATGTGGGCTTATTAAACATATCTTCTATGTGCATTTAAATCATTTGCTAATGTAGATGTGTAAGAGTTCTCTGTTCTGAATGCAAAACATTGGTAACATGAATCTATTACAAATGTATCCTCTCATTCTGTGGCTCACCTTTTTGTTTTCTTGACAGTTCCCTTCTAAGAGTAGAAAGATTAAATTTGACATAGTCCCATTTACTTATTTTTGTAGTTGTGTTTGCACATGGTCTGGTGACAAGTACACAAGACTAGGGGGAGAATTCTTTCCGTGGCTACGACTATGAAAGTTCAGTTACATGGCTGAATCTGCACAGGGCGGTTATAGTGAGAGTCTTCCTACAGCACCCATTGGTCCTTATACCTCTTATTATCTAGTCGCCTGGATAATGAAACACTTCTCATATCTTGTCCTCCTAACACCTTCCATGTGTAAACTGAAAGAATTACAGAGCCTCAGGATTCGAAGGAAGCAATAAGATGTTCTTTTCACCCTCACACTGGATAAACATTTTAGCGGTCAGATCATTTATCTAACATACACTTCTAGGACCTAATTTTCATTATAGACAGCAATGTGGCATGATTCATCTGAATGTTAGAAGAGGAAGGGAAATGGGATACTTCTCTCCAATTTGTCATTTATGGGAGCCTGCCAGAGTAGCCATGGCTTGGCAGTTGAATGTCGCCTGCCAGCGTGGCACTTACTCTCAAGTGGAGTCAGGCAGCCTTGGGAGTGGCTGAAGTGCTCCTATGGTGCAGGATACGAGCTTTATAAAAAGGCAGAATTAGGCATGCGGGCTGGATTAGCAATTTGGGTAAGCCATGGTTTCCCTCATCTGTAAAAGGAAAAGCTTGGGACATATGCCTGAATATAGTTTGCTCTAACTAAATATTTTTTCCTATTTATTGGTGATATAAAGGATGAAATGGATATATATATATATATATATATATATATATATATATACACACACACACACACATATAAATACATACATACACACACATATATATATAGATAGATATCAAATAGATAGATATCAAATGTATATATTTGATGCTGCAGTTTTATTAATAGGGGAAAAAAGGCTGAGAAATTGATGGAAAAGGACAAGATTAAAAACTTCATCTTTATTTTAAATAAATCTTACCTAGGCTTCTAATCATCATAATAATCTAATTGTGGTCTGCTTTCATAAGAAGCATATTATTTTGCAGGTCATGGATATGGACTAGTGTCCCTGGCATACACAACCTAAGAGCCACGTGGTTATCAGAATTATTTTCAAAGGTAAGACAAACAGTTCAATGTTACTAAGACAGGCCATATCTTCCCATGGGATCTTTTAAATTGTTGAATAAGTAATATAAAATTCAAACAATGCACGGGTTATACCATGAAGACTAACTATCATGCCTCATCTGCTCACCAAATCCCCCATAGCGTCATTCCTGAGGGCCTACGTGGTCTGTTACCTAATTAGTATCTCTTTATGCCTGTACAGGCAAACATGACTCTATGTCCTTTTCCCCCTTTTGGTGACACAAAAATCAGTATGCTGTGCACATTGTTGGGCATCTATCTAGCTTTAAAATATATATATGCTCCGATTAGCATATCACCACTTTAGAGTGCCCACGATAGCTTCTAAATATCTTTCCAACCTTATGTAATGTGCCTGAAGCAAACCCTGCTCTAGATCTAAAGCAACTACCTCCAGGGTTTGATGGGTTGGCTCTTCCCTTGTGGCCTAGGGGCACAAGATGTCTGAGGTGAAGAAGTCAAGGACCCTGTAATTTCTGAAGACATATTCTAGGGTTTAACTGGTTGTGAAAACAAGCTCTGGGAATTCTGACATTCTTCCTTCTGGCAAAATCAGTGCTGAGGGGTTGGTGTCAGGCTGAAGGCTTATGTTCCAGATGAAAGTATGTTTCTACATAAAAACCAAGGCAGTTTTCATGCGTGAGTGGACGCTTTTATGTGTAAAGCTGGAAAGGAGAAAAGAATCTACAGCAGTCTTAGTTTTCTGATTAGGACAAATGACTGGGAGGAAATCCTTCTAAGGCAATTGTAAAGGCAATTTAATTGAAACCCTGCAGAAAGATGGACCCCTCTTTGAACACTATCTCCCTGTAGGCCTTTCTGCCAGTCATATGGTAAGTGGTACACAGTGTTGAAGTCACTGTCATAAATGTAATTTATCTTTTTGCTAAAATGCCTGAATATCGTTTCATCTTTCTGACTTTATGAGAATCCTAGCTTGTTTTAAACATCCACATATATTTGATCTATGTAAGAATGGAAGGCAGGAGGAGGATGGAGTAAGTGATACAAGTATCAAAAACTGTAAGGTCACTTAAATCACTCATGTTTTTACTAAGGATTCATTTGCTATTTGTGCAGTTGGTTTGCCTTCATTTCTATGTTTTTTGCTTCCGCTAATAAATTGATTTGCATTTTCTGAGTACATAGTGACTAGTCATAAGAACAGGTGCCCTGCAGACAGCTGTGTGGTGGGTGGAAGCCAGTCTGGCTTCCACATTTTCTGTGTTGCTAGATGGTGACAGAGAACACAGCAAATCCCTGGAGCCAACCACAAGGAAAGCCTGCCAACTTGGACATCAGGACCACAGGCTTTCAGTTGGATACATTCTGGTTTCCTCAGTAGATGGTGGCCATATCCCAGGACACTGATGATAGGTCTCATCTCCTCAAGTAGGCGCAGGACAGCCTTTAAATTTTGCAACCATGTCAACTTCTACTGTGGGACTGCTTTTGACGGGATGATAAACCATGCATTACTTCTGGAAGCTATCTTCAAGTCTGTCTTCCAATTTGGGATGGAAATTTCAGCAGCCTAGACAGATACAGAGAAAAAGACTTTCCTTTCTGATCCCATAAAACACAACCTCAGGCTTAGGAGGTTTAGACATTAGACTTATTGTCTGTACCAATTATTGCCCAAGTGGCCTTTAATTCCATACCACCACATGGCATGTCATTCAAGTATCATGCTATTGAGCTGTTATAATTTCATTTAAATATGCTTTTTGCTTCTTATATCTTGCCTACCAAATGATCATGATTTACCAAAATAAGGTTTCAGAGCCAATGTCAGTTTTCATATTACGAAATTAGAATTTCTTACTTGAGCATTTTATATTCTCCTTATGAAGATGTTCTCAGGGATTGATCTAATATTCTTTAAAATTATAATACTATATAGTATCCACAAAACCTTCTGAGTTCGCATAAAAATTAACATTTTCTGTGAGAATTACAACGCAAAAATATGAGCTCTGGAGGGCTAACTTTTCAGTGCTCTGCAGGAAGGCCAGGGAGATGATCACTGAGGGAATTCCGTGACTTTGGGCTTTCTTGGAACCTCCCAACATCCTCACCTCTGTCTTAACACAATGAACACATATATCACACATAATTTCTTTTTTTGTGTGTGTGTGTGGTGGGGTACTAAGGATTGAACTCAGGGGCACTTGGCCACTGAGCCACATCCCCAGCCCTATTTTGTATTTTATTTAGAGACAGGGTCTCCCTGAGTTGCTTAGTGCCTTGCTTTTGCTGAGGCTGGCTTTGAACTTGCGATCCTCCTGCCTCAGCCTCCGTAGCTGCTGAGATTTCAGGCACCACATTGCAGGCTCATAAGTAATTTCTTGTTAATAAAATGCAAGTTTCCCAATGAATGACCTACACTTAAGTGGATTTTGAAGTTCTCTCTAAAATAATGGGATCTTCTAAAATATGAGGGAAAGGAGCAATAGTTATAGATGTTTTGCTTATGGCTTAAAATAAATGGACTCAGACTTTGGTGTGACTATGAGACCAAATGCAGATCTGTGGTAAAATGCAGATTTGTGGACCCAGACTCCAGGGAATCTGAGACTGTGGCTGAGACACAGATGTGTACCTTTCACAAGCCACCCAGGTGATTCTGACACAGGTCACTGGAGATTTGACCTCACTAAAAGCAATGAGTCTCACGCACATCTTGGGACTTCCTTCCAGCCTGAATTCTTGTTCTAGTTCTCAGGTTCTAAGGTTTGCTGGAGTAGGTTCCCAGACAAAGGATTTTGTCTCACAGACCCCCAACTCCCATGACAGGTGCTGACAGCTGCCAGTTCCTAACATGAGTCACCCTCCTCCTCAACTGTATCTTCAGAGACTGTAGAGAGTTTCTGCAGATTACACTTCTCTTCCACCCACAAACAACAGCAAAAAAAAGCTGAAAAACAAATTTTTTTTCCATTTCTAAAAAGAACTTGTTGTATGGGGGGAAAGCTACTAAATGGGTGAGATGATTCCAAAGACAACCAAATTTAAATTTATCAGTGAGGAAAGATAATACAGAAGAAAAGAAATTTTCTAAATATTCATGGATTCTACAGCAATACACAAAGAATAGCATTTTTTTCTTTCTTCCCCTTTTCTTCCTTTCTTTTTGCTTCAAGCTATAAGAATGTTAGCTCTACTTTTTATTACCAATTAATACTTATCCCTTGTATTCTTTACTTTAGGCCTTAAATGTCTACTATTTAAAAATATACATCTAAAATCTTTTCAAATATCTATTGTCCTTAAATCTGTAATCACTGATGTTTGAGATTTTGCATGAATCAATGTTGTACTTTCAACGTAATTTTGGTTGAGCTAAAAAGATAAATGATCCATGATACACTTATGTTCAATAGAAGTTCCATCTTTCTTCATGTCATTATTGTATGTTTTTGTTCATTCATCCATTTAAATGGAACTATTTCCTTTAATTTCCAGTGAAATGACGATCCCTTGAAGAATCAATAGTGATCTAATTCTCGAATATTATAAGACCAACATACTGTTTAAAGTCAACTATGTGAAGTTGTAACTCAACTAAATGAAGTTGGAACTTAAGTTTAGGAATCTTAATTTTTCATTTGTTTGAGAAGTGAAGGGTAACATTTCAGACTTTACTTGAATTTTTAATATTAGAGTTATCAAATTTCACCAAAGGATTATTATATGGAAATTGAACATTCCTTCCTTTTATTTTTCCTCCTTTCTTTCAGTTTTCACTGACAGAACATCTATTCCTAGTCACAAAATATGGTTAACGCTGAAGAAATAAAGATTTAACCTAAGACCTAGTCTTTGACAGCTCCCTGAAATTAATTATCTAGTTGAAGAGACTGAGGAAGGACACAGTAAATACAGTAGAAAGTGATAAGTACCGTGGAAGCAGTACCAGGGAAGGAGATATTCATACATACAAGAACATTCCCTGAATTCAAGGGACTCACATTATAGAGGATGATGATTAATTATAATACAGTGCTAAGCATCATGGTGGAGAATTGCTCAGGACATTCCGAAAGCAAAGGAGGTCCTGGGAGTGAGGAGGGACAAGACACGGTTTCCTGGAGGATGTTACAGCAATGAAGGGCAGGAAAGGGCCAAAAAAAAAAGGCAGAGAGCTGGAGTGAGATGATATCTTAGAGTAGTTTGGATTTGCATTTCTCTCATTGCTAGAAATGATGAGCATTTTTTCATATATTTGTTGATTTATTGTATATCCTCTTCTGAGAAGTGTCTGTTCAGGTCCTTGGCTCATTTGTTGACTGGGTTATTTGTTCTTTTGGTGCTTAGCTTTTTGAGTTCTTTATATACCCTAGTGATTAGTGCTCTGTCTGATGTGTGAGGGGTAACAATTTGCTCCCAGGATATAGGCTCTCTATTCACCTCACAGATTGTTTCTTTTGCTGAGAAGAACTTTTTAGCTTGATTCCATCCCACTTATTGATTCTTGGTTTTAATTCTTGCACTTTAGGAGTCTTATTAAGGAAGTCAGGGCCTAATCCCACATGATGGAGATTAGGGCCTACTTTTTCTTCTATTAGATACAGGGTCTCTGCTTTTATTCCTAGATCCTTGATCCACTTTGAGTTGAGTTTTGTGCATAGTAAGAGATAGGGGTTTAATTTCATTTTGTTGCATATGGATTTCCAGTTTTCCCAGCACCATTTGTTGAAGAGACTATCTTTGCTCCAATGCATGTTTTTGGCACCTTTGTCTAATATAAGATAATTATAGTTTTGTGGGTTAGTCCCTGTGTCCTCTGTTCTGTACCATTGGTCTACCAGTCTGTTTTGGTGCCAATACCATGCTGTTTTTAAACCATCATTTGACCCAACTATCTCTCTCCTTGGTTTATACCCCAGAGACTTAAAAACAGCCTACTACAGGGACACAGCCACATCAATGTTTATAGCAGCACAATTCACAATAGCTAAACTGTG